CACACACACACACACACACACACACACACACACACCCCCCCCTAAACAAGAATAACTAGAAGCTGTGGCTTCATTGAAGCTTAATTTTTAATTAAGGAAGGGTACTCCAGGATGAGAATTTGTGGTCTATGTACTAGTTGAAAAACCATGTTAAGTTGAATTTTGATGATGATAAAATTATTGTTAAATTAATCCATCATTTTCAGCTTTATTTTATAAAGGAAGAGGAAGGAAGTTATTGTCATCTCAATCTCCCTCCATTTTATCCAACATTTGTGTAATGTCAAAGGTAATTCAAGTTCTGCCATTTCGATTTACTGGAATATATTTTTCCAGCCAATTAAAGCCTTTTTCAGGTCAACTCTTTGATTGTACAGTTTCAGTTGGAATCTGGATCTGTTTGAAGGTGGGTGGATATAGGGTTCACAAGGAGGATCAGAACCTATTTTTGGAGAAGACAGCCAAGATGGGGTGATTGAGCACCTCTGTCTATGAGGGAAAGCCCTGATGAGCTACTATACATTAATTTTGATATTCTCTTGCATCAACTTAACAAACTAGCACTAGTTACAAAACATTTGTGTTGAAGCTACTACTCAGAAGCATGTGATAGTGCTTACTTAATCTGGCAATGCCTAAAACAATAGGCATTCAGTAAATAATTATGAAAGAATATATATACTTGGTATCATTGCACATTGTTTGTGTTCTGTTTTGTTTTTGTGGTACTAGGAATTGAACTCAAAGGTACTCTTACCACTGAGCTACATTCCCCAGTTTTTTGTTTTTTCCCCCAATTTTTAGATAGGGTTTCTGTAAGTTGCCCAGGCCTTCAATTTATGCAGCCTCCCACAGGCCCAGATACTTTTGGATACTATGTATTTAAAAAACAATTCAGATTGGTCTTTCCATGTAAATTAGTAAATATAGACTATTTACCATATCTTAGGGAAAAAAGCTTGGAAAAATAAAAGGCAGCTTAGAATAAGTCACTAGCAATTTTATTAAGTATCCAAACTACAATACTTTTCCTTCAGTTTTGTTGTTTGAAATTTTTTTTACCAACTATTTTCTCAGTGCTTTGCTGTCTCCATACATATAAAATTAAGTATATAAATAGAAAAATACCAAGCAATCCTGCTATCTTGTTCATTGTGATATTTTCAGTCATAAGTGACTATGAAAACACACAAAGAAGCTTGATACACAATTCTTTGCAGTATAATCCATAATTGTAACTTTTTAGTATGAAGGAACAGCTATCTATATTGTTGATTGGTTTTAAGAAAATATCCACCTGGATCCAAATAGTTGAACTATGTTAAAAAGCTGGTTTCTATTGGTTTCTCTTTCATTTTCTTTATATAGTTCATAGAAAATGATTAGAAAAGAAATGTTGCTTTTGGTCTAAGTATCACATTCTTTTGATACTTGGCATTTACATATCTAAACATTTAATAAACATTAAAACTTTTTAGAGATTTTAATCCATATCTCCTCTTCCTGAGTGTCTAAGAGCCATAGTTATGAAGAGTCAGCCAAGTGTTTTGAATAATTGTAATCAGAAGGTAATAGCTTTAAAAGGATGCTTATTTGTTTAGAACAGCTGTTGACATTTAATACAAGTATGCTATAATAGTATACATACTATGCTAGTATGCTGTGATATTTCATTATTGGGAATACAGTTATACATTAGATCCTCTTGTACTTTTTCTTTCAGTTGTCAAAATATCACCATTATTGCTGGGATTCTAAGAAATCTCTACAAATGCCTCTAATGATATCAGAAACAATTGGTTCTAATCCTGTGAACTCTCTTGTGAAGAAAGCATGTGACTCCTTTGGTTTAGAGGCCATATCTTTCAGGTCATCCAGGGGTGCCCAAGCCACACCAACAGAGAAGATGGTGATACCTGCAATGGAAATAATTTAATTAAAAGCCAGTCTAATTTATATGTACAGTTATCTATATGTTTGTGTATATATTCCATATATTGGTGTATAGTTGCAGAGAATAAAGTTTCCTGTATCCAATCATTAGGTAAGTTTTAACAGTCTTTGATGAGATTGGTAAAACAGTATGGTCAAAACCAGAAGTCTTCGTCATCAGTGTAATTTAGCACATTGTCTTATTAATGATATGAGCACTGATACAGAAAAAATATTTGACAAACTTCAAGTCCATTCACAACACAAGAAGGAATAGAAGAAAACTTTCTCAATACATATTATCTCTTTAAATGATATCCTATAGGCTAGAGATGTAGCTCATGGTACAGTGCTGGCCTAGCATATAGAAGCTCCCGAGTTTGATCTCCCAGCATCTCACAAAGTACAGAAAAAAGTGAAAATTTCTCCTGAGATTGATGTGAGAAAGGCCTGCTATCATCACTTAAAATTAGTACATTGGAGTCCTGGCTGGCACCTTAAAGCATGAGAGAATGGCACAAGATAAGTAAATGGTGAATGTTTTCAAAGTTTACATTGGGGAACATTAACTATAGTCTTCTGTAGATAACAACAATTTGTTTCCTGTATTTGTAGTTATATTGGCAAGCTGTCCAATCATCAGAAATTGCCAGTCTGTAATATGACAGCAAAAATAGGGGGATGGGAGTGGGGATGTGGCTCAGTGATAGAAGCCCTAGGTTCAATCCCTATTGCCCACCTCCAACACACACACACACCAAAAAAAAAATCATGGTGATAAATTGCCAAAAAGGGGTTTCTATGAAACTGAAGTAATTTTGGTTTCATTGAAGCATTCCATCTACATTCCCTTAATTTATTATGGGGTTTTTAATACAACTACATTTTGGTTAGGGTGATAATTATATTAGCTGAATTCACCTCCACCCAAATTCACATGAATCCTAACATTGCCCTTAGAGTTTCTAGTTAATCCACTATTCAAGATTTAATTCCTTTTTAAAAAAAATTTTTTAGTTGTAGATGGACATGATAGTTTTACTTATTTTTATGTGGTGCTGAAGATTGAACCCGGTGCCTCACATGTGCAAAGCAAGCACTCTGCGGCTGAGCCACAACTCCAGCCCTGTTATTAAAAAATGTTATTCTAAATTGCTATATATGACAGCAGAATGCATTTCAATTCATAGTACACATATAGAGCACAATTTTTCATGTCTATGGTTGTATACAGAGTAGAGTCAACCATTTGTGTCTTCATACTTAGGGTAATGATGTCCATCTCATTCCACCTTCTTTCTTACCCTCATGTCCCCTTCCTCCCCTTTCCCCATCTAAGGTTCCTCCGTTCCTCCCACGCTCGCCTGCCCCATCCCCATTATGGATCAGCATTCTCATATCAGAAAACATTTGGCATTTGGTTTTTTGGGGTTGACTTACTTAGCATAATATTCTCTCAACTCCATCCAGTAACCTGCAAATGCCATGATTTTATTCTCTTGATGCTGAGTAAGTAGTATTCTATTGTGTGTATATATATATATGACGTTTTCTTTATCCATTCATTTACTGAAGGGCATCTAGGTTGGGTCCACAATTTAGCTATTGTGAATTGTGCTGTTGTAAACATTGATGTGGCTGTGTCACTGTAGTATGCTGTTTTTAAGTCCTTTGGGTGTAAAATCCATATGCAGCAAAATGAAATTAAGCCCTTATCACCATGCATAAAACTCAAAAAGTGGATCAAGGACCTAGGAATTAAACCAGAGACCCTGTGCCTAACAGAAGAAAAAGTAGGCCCAAACTTCCTTAATAAGACTCCTATATCGCAAGAAATAAAATTAAAAAATAAATGGGGTGGATTCAAACTAAAAGGCTTCTCAATTAAAGAAACAGGTGAATAGAGAGCCTACAGAATGGGAGCAAGTTTTTACCACACACACATCAGATAGAGCACTGATCTCTGGTATATATAAAGAACTCAAAAATCTTAACACCAAAAAAAACAAATAACCCAATCAATAAATGGGCCAATGAACTGAACAGACATGTCTCAGAAGATGATACACAATCAGTCGACAAATATATGAAGAAAATGTTCAACATCTCTAGAAATTAGAGAAATGCAAATCAAAACTTAAGATTTCATCTCCAGTCAGAATGGCAGCTATTAAGAATACAACAATAAAGTTGGCAAGGATGTGGGGGAAAATGCACACTCGTACATTGCTGGTGGGACTGCAAAGTGGTGCAGCCAATATGGAAAGCAGTATGGAGATTTCCTTGGAAGATTTCATTCTAATGTGTACAATGATTACAGTTGAAAGACGATGTAAAGTAGGATTAGGGCTGGGGCTGTAGTTTAGTGGCAAAGCGCCTGCCTAGCATGCATGAGGCACTGGGTTTGATCCTTGGCACCACATAAAAATAAAGGCATTCTATCTACAACTACAATAAAAATTTTAAAATAGGTTTAGAGGATATAAAAGATATTTTAAGCAATTCCCAGTTATCACCAGCAGCCAATCCCTTCTACTACCACCTAGTCAAAAAAAAAAAATAGTCAAAGCTGTTTTTCCTACTTCTACATTTCAGAATTTTTAGCTGAGGCCAAGTATATACTTACACTTAGTTTAAGAAAAAATAAAGTTGTAACCCTAAAAGCCCAATCTGATTCCTGTTTTTTTGTGAGGAATAATTTTCATGAAATTTCAGGGTGGCCTAACCTCATCATAGGAAAGTTACACAGAAATTTAGTTCATTTTAGCCTGAATACAATCCTAAATTAGTTCAGTACACGAAGTTTGAGAAATGACAACAGGAAGGGAAGTCTTCACTTGAACATAGGTTAGTTACCAATGTGTATAAACTACTTCTACAAAGGAGATGTATAGTTTAAATTGCATGTACCAGTTCTCTATACTGCTTCAGTATTTTTATAGATATACAAGTATACAATAAACATTAAGAGAGTTCCCAACATAAAAAAGAGGGTTTAATCATTAGGAATTGAAGGGAAAAGGAGGTACAGAAAAAGTGTAGAAGAATGCAAGGCTGTTGATTCTCCCCTCCCAAGTCATTTACTTATATCTCCACAAAGGGAATCCTAGCTTTTTTTTTTTTTAAATCCTCTTTGATCTCAGCAATGTAGTAAAGTCTTAAGAAACATAGATCTTTTCCAAAAGTAATAATAAGGTTGGAATGAGGAAAGTCCCTACCATTTTAAAACACAAGAGTGTGTGTTCGTTAGCTCAAGAAGAAAATTTAGTTTAGATGGGATTGGGTTAAACTGTTTATTGATGACCTTATCTTGGAAAAGTCATGCTGGACTGAAAATTTTAAAGACAAAAGTTTTAATAGTCACACAGTCGGCATGGTAAACAGTGATTATTTGGGGATATATTCCAAATTTGAGCCAAACATGAGCACCTGTAACTTAAGTCCTTAACACATAATGGTTCTCAAGACAGTTCTAATAATCCAGTAGGTTAGGAGTGTGCACTTAAGCCAGCATGCTTAGGTTTGAATCTTTGCATTGCCATACTTAACAGCTGTATCAGCTGTTTCCTTCTCTGTAGAATGAGATTGGTAGGGCTGCTCTGACTAATCAACTAATATTGGATCAAGTTCTTAGAACAATGACTGCTACACTGCAGGTGTTTGTTCAATAAAATAAATACTTTCATTTACTTCCTAAATTCACAGAACCCCTCCTCAGTTCCTTTTCCATACAAAGGACAAGGATCTTACCTGCATCATGTGCAGCAGCAGCAGGACCTCGGACATCATCATAGGACTGCCCATCTGTGACAATTACCAGGAAGTTCTTGTTGGGACTGTCTCTCACAGGACCAAACACATTTCTCACAGTAAAGGAAATGGCATCACCAGTGGCCGTTCCACCACTCATATAGCGGATGTTTCTAATAACAGCAAGGATATTCTCCTTGCTGTTATAATCAGTGAAACTGAATTCTGTGCGCTGATCATAAGTGAACTGTACAGCAGCTATCTTGGCACCAATGTCTGAGATTTCAAAAGTCTTGGCTATGTTGGAAACAAATTCAAGCATCAGGCGGAAATTACTATCTCCAACACTACTGGAGCCATCAATTAGGAAGGCAATGTTCACTGAGTTATAACAGGTCTTGCTGCACATCATTTGCTCATGAGTACAAAGCTTCTGTACCAGAGGCTTTACATATTTTGTGGTGCCAAACCAGTTGGGCATATGGTAAGAGAAGAAGCCATTATTCCGACAGACAGCCTAATGGGGGAGACACATGAAAGATATCCAGTGAGATCAAACCTTGTCTCTAAAAGTTTTGAAAATATTCAATCTTGGATGATCAAGAGTTAATCAGATAGGGCCAGTCAGCACCATGCTTAAGGTGCAAAGCTGAATCAATACACTCAGAACAGAAGATGCCCCTTACCCGCTTACCTTGTCAACAAATGCAACATCCTGAACCATCCCCAATTCTTCAGGGATAGGTTTGGCCACAGAAACTATAAATACATTGACTCCAAACTCTCTGGCCACAATGCCTGCTTCCTCAATGTCATCAGAAGGCCAACCATCAATAAATACCACCACCACTTTGGGGATCCCTTTTCTCACTCCATTGTCAGCTGTGAAAAATTTCTGAGCAGTATGCTTCAAGGCTTTGCCTGGGTTTAAAAAGATGCAAACAGGCAGCATTTACCACTGCTCAAATGACATTTCTATTTCCCTGTGGCAACTTGTTACTATTAAGTTTAAGAACTTAACATATATGGAACTTGATTCTATAATAGCTGCCTCAACTGGAAAAGTTTAATTATCCTTCAGGCCTATTTTTTGTCTTCACTACCCACATTACTACCCCCTCTACCTCCCAGAAGCCTCACATTTCCTTACCTCATGTCAATCACTAGTCAGAAACACAAACTGACTCCTACTCCTGTCATGTGCTTTCTTGCCCGTTGGTGAGTGACAGATGAGTACCTCTAAGAATCAGGAACAATAAGTTCTCTCTTCAGAGGGTCAATTGTCTAATTCTTTCTGCCACATCTGCATTCATTAGATAAGTCTGTTAATCTTTGCTTCTTTTTACCAGTATAGTGA